CTCTAATATAATAATATTAAACTCGTTATATATAAACTATACTATCTCGTCGTAGTAGGATATAGGGCGGTCGCGAAGGAAGTCTAGTACTTATAGCTCTTACTATTCGAGTAATAGATATAGCTAGCCTCTTTTTATAAAAGTTAGATATAGCTTACTAAAGAATACTATATTAAGCTAGATCTTATTAATATAGTAACGGCTTATATTTATTCGTTTAGCTATCTAGTTATTTAATAGTCCTACGTTAAAGAAGTTAAATATCCTATTAAGATTATACGATAGTAGTTAGTTAGCTAGTAGTAGCTTATATAAGGGTATTATAATAGATAGTAAGGCCTAAAATAATACCTAGGACTAGCCTATACTATTATAGAGTCGATAACACGTTAAACGAGCGATATAGTACAAGAATAGTAGACTATTCCCGGTTTTACTAACAAATTATAGTATAAAGTCGGGAGCTTAGAATTGCGGCTATACCCGCGAGGGATAGTATACTTTATTTGCGCGTATAATAATATCGCGATAAGCTAGCAGCCGAGCTCGTCCTACGCGAATTAAAATAGTCGACTCTATAAACATTACTAACTTTTGCTCGGTAGCGACGGCGTCTACCTCATTTCTAAGCCGCTAGAATCCTATCTAACCTTTATGTGTAACATCTGCTTTCGTCCATAAGCGAAGTAAGGAGTAGAAGACTAGAGTGCGCCCAGCCATTAAATAAGTCCTAGAATTTGCCGGAATAGTCCCAATTCGACTTCACTTCAAAGTCCGAGCAATTGCGAGCGCTCTCATGTATGTTTAGATAGCTTACAGTACATGGCTTGCAAAGACAATGTACTACCTCGACGAGGCGTACTTCGAACGTCTAAGCTTCGCGTCGTGGACTTCGCGTCTTCTTACGTCATGATCTGTCATTGCGAAGCTTCTCAAGATGATCAAGAAGTGGCTAGCTCATTTACGTAGGTAAGTACGCTACAGTATCTCACTAGTTGCCTTTGCTCATTCACCTATATGGATTCGCTCCGCTGTTGTTTCGGCTGATATTTTCGTTACGAATCAGACCGATTGGAACGACTGTTTTAAATAGCATGTCCATCGAAAACAAGCAGATCAAAGTCAGCCAAGTGGTCACGTCCGCCGTCTGCTGCACCACCAACCTCACGCTTGAGGTACGTGATTCTCAACAATAACCTGTAGAACGATTCTAATACCAACCTCTATAGGCCGTGAACGACTTTCTCGCTCAAGTATGGAGAGAGGAAGAAAACGATACGCCTCCAACGCATACCCTAACTTTGATCCACGATCTCGAGACCTATTTCTGGGGCACTACTAAAGAGCTGCAAGGAGAAGATCCAGAAACAGTCCTGCAAAGCCCATTCACTGGTCTGGATTACTCTGAGATTAGAAAGCTTCTTATGCAGATGAAAGAGGCTTCAGCATCGAAATTGAAGACAGATTGGTTCCTTGTCCTAGACGGACGTTCTGTGGAGACGAATTCAGCCGTCATAGTGAATGTTGAACCGCATGGTACACATACATTACGATCTAGTGTTCGCTCTTTGCGGGTCGATTATCCCACTTCATCGCGATATCTGGCCGCGGCGAGCATTGCTCACCCATCAATTAATGAATTGAAAGAAGTCGTGGACGGCAATCCGGATAAGTTTAAAGGAATTCTACGGGACGACTAAGGAAGGGAGAGCGTGTGCTCGAAAGTGTCCTCGATAGCGGCGATCCTAGGGGCAGAAAACTGAAGATAGTTGCGACAGCGTTAAGACGCATTAGAATCTTCGTTATGACTTAGGATGCAGTCATGGACTCTTATGCCTTTCTCGACATTCCTTCACCACAAACACCTCTACGAAGGGAATGTCAGTACATAAAAGACACGCTAGACGTCGAGATCTCTGACGTACCACTTCAGCTCACATTACATCGCTTCTTCGACACAAACGAGCTTGCGCAAGGCTCACCATCCGCCGCTCTGCGCTTCTGTGTATCGACCGCGTGGACAGGAGGCGCTTGAGTCAGAGCCTGGGTGGTCGGCCCAACGCTTGCTGGGCCCTGCCTCCCTGAAGCATCCTGCGAAGGTTCCGTGTCTGAGATCTCCGTGAACTCAGTATTGGTATTTCCTGCTTGCGTCGAAGCTCCACCTCGCTCTTCTCCACGTCCAGATGTCGTGTGACCGCCGGACTCAGCCGACTCGTAGGCTCTCGACAGGGCTTGCATTTCACGAGCCCACTTCTGTCGGATCCGAGGCAGGCGGTCGCACAGGGAACCGCTGTTCAGTAGCTCATCGATGGTGTCTTCCAAAATCCCATCGAGAGCGAGCATTTTGGTCCCCTCCCACCCGTGGAAGTACTCGAATGCGTTGTTGATGTAATCTCCGTTGGTGAGCCTCGCTTTGTACTGACACTCCGATGTGTGAGTACCGCCAGTAGCTTGGTATCGGCGGTAACGAAGGCCCTTGTAAGATTCCGTTGAGTCTTTCATGAATTTATGCTCTCGTTTGCTCTCATGGTTGAGGCACCGGGCACACCAAATTTGGCTGTTGAGGTGCCGGAAGACTGTATCGGCCGCCACCGTTATACCCTCCTCTGGGACGAATGCGTCCAGTGGTTGAGCTGGGCAACACATTGTGTCGGAGTGAGGGTGATCGTGTTGTGCAAAGTGTATGTGGGAATGATGATGAGCAAAGAGCAGGGTGCTGGGTGAAAGGAGGAGCAAAGAACGAGCGTCGCGAGGAAGATGCAGGCAGCAAAGAGAAGGACGCGCCGGTATCGATAACAAAACACGCTAGAACTCACAGTCACGAGGTCTTAATGACCCAGTTGAGGCGTAGGTGTATACCAACGAACGTTCATTCGCCATCAGGTTGATGTCCAGGGGGATGCTGCATGCCAAGGCCATGTGACAGGGGCTCGCCTTGCTTTTGTGATTGATCCCAAAGGGAGGAAGAAAGACCATGGGCATGAATCGAAGGTCAACATTTGGTTCCCATCTTCTTATACACTGCGAGCTCTGGTTGCTTCAGGCCCTTCATCGACACACCTGATTCCGCAAGACCTCCTGGACGCACCATTGGCGGCCCTCTTCTACAGCACTTCGACCTTCAAGTCTGAGTCGCATGGCTTGACCCAGATGACATGATTGACCATGATGTCTAGCTACTGACCTCATCAGTACTGTTCACCAGCGTCTGCTCGGAGTCAAGCCGCAACATACCGAACAGAGGGTTCTGTCTTCGTTGACATGGCCGTTGATAGCCCCATGATTGTACAATGTCTTTCCCATGGTCACTAGACGAATTCGATGGGCCTCAACGTCGAGCTCGCAGTCGATTGCGAAGGCGAGCTCCCGAACGGTGGATAATGCACGGAGCTGAACAAATTGCTTCGGTTCCGTCTTGGACGTGACTGTGTCGAATTTGATCTCGAGTTGGAAGGGCATGTCGGCCTTGACAGCTGGGCTACCGTTCGACGGAGGGAGGGAGGAGGGCGCTGAGGCCGACATCCTTGGATTTGGCCATAACTTCAGCGGGCAGCGTGACGCTGACTGCCTCCGAGGGTTCGATCTTGATGTTGGGAGCCATGGACTACCTGCAGAGTCAGATCTGGTATTCACACACACGTGCTTGAGATGGACGACTCACCGATGTTCCGACCTTTTGAGGTGTGTCGAACAGGAGAGACCGAGAGATGATGGATTTGAGTCAGGAGTATTGCTTGCTGAGAGTTGTAGAGGAGAGAATTCGAAAGAGAGAGAACGACGAACGGATGGACGAGGGTTGCGTTGGGTGTGCAAACAGACATACGGCCGAGCTCACCGGAAGGCTGCAGGGCCGTGACATCAGGGGCAAGAGCAAGAACCTCGAACCTCATGTTGATGCGATGACCAGACTGGCGAGTAGATTAAAGTCCACGAAGACAGCGTTGATTTGAATGCCGTAGAGGCTGTACTTGAATACCCATTTCGATCTTTATCTGGTAAAGGGGAAGAATGCCACCCACAAGATCATGAAGTCCACAGCTTCAACTCATCTCCCTCCCCAATACCGCACTGTACACAACTGTCAGCAATCTCCCGACTTCAACCACACCAGACCGTACTCACCTCTTTCAAAGGCCGAAACCTCACCAACTTGCCCCCAAAAGTAACATCCCACAAGTACTCCGTCTCACCAAATCGCTTCACCACAAGAACAATGTTCTCCATCCGCATATCCTTGTACAGCCTGCGAACAGCATTGGCAATCTCCTAGACGGTCGTCGTGGGAAGGACCTGACAGATGAGAGGCAGGACAGGCGATTTATCTCTGACGATGCGAATCCTGAAGGCATGTGCGGCGCTTCCAGCTTCCTCGGGGATGGGGTAGAGCGGACGGTTGGTGACTTCTGTTCCACCGGCGACGATGGGGCTGGAGTTTCTGGAGGTGTTGTTGTGGTCTCGCACCAGCTCCTCGTCGATAGCTATAGTCTTGCACAATCCGAATGCCTCAGCTGCACTCTTAGCTAGAGCGAGAGCGCGGGCGGGCATCTGTGTCGCAGCCGCGGTTCTCGCCACCCCTTCCGCAATCCCCACCAGCGTTCGTACGATGAGAGGGTCCCGTTCGTGTGCGAGCAAGTCGACGAAGTCTCCTCTCCTCATGGACAAGATCAGTTCAAAGGGAACGAGTAGCTCGATGTCGGTGCCATATGTGTAGTGGTTGTAGAGAGCGGATGGCATGCTGATCGAGATGGCTTTCTTTTCCATTACGATCGTCTCTTGCCGGTTGATGTCCTTCAGTCGTTCCACCGCGCATTCCACCGCGACCAAGGTCTTTACCACAAGAGGCTGTACGCATTGAAAGGGCAGGTCGGGTGTTCCGCGGGTCTTCAATTGATGGGCCAGGTACACTGGGATGCAGCAGGTGACTGCGACAGAGTCCACGCTGTTTGGCCCTCGGGATTTCCTGGTACAACGGCCGTTTATATTGACTGAGCTCGCGCGGTCTGGCCAGTGGGGTGTGCTGGGGGTATTCATGTTGAAGTGACTGTTGATAGCAAGTGAATGAATGGGTCTGTAAAGTGTGCGTATCTTGTATGTGTGTCAGGATGAGAGAGTTGGATGTGAGGGGGAAGAAAAAGGGCGAGCTTGCCTGAACGTAAAGGAAATCGTCATCGCACACCAACCGTTGCTTCCATGTGTGACTTTGGGAAGGCACACTGTTGACCCTGTCGTCTCATATTGTCCTACACACTTCGTAGTCGGTCTGTCAGTAGCAATACAAGTCGCAGTGCTGTGTGCTGTCCATCTCCCCTCAATCATCCATATCAACATCTTCATCAGAACCATCACTCTCATCAGCATCAACCTCTCCCAACAGTTCTCTGTCTTCTTGATCAAGCTCCTGCGCATAGTCATCGTCATCCGCATCGGCCTCCTGATCCGCCTTGAGTCCAGCTTTGCCAGTCGTACTCCTCTGTCGCCGTACCTTCGCACGTGAATCCGACGGAGCACCGACATCCTCATCCCGCTCGATGGTCGGTACATTCCTTCGACGACTTGGCTTCAACATGCCTTCCCGCGCCAGTTGTGCCCGCCGTATCATGGTCTGACCAGGAAGGTTGAGGTCGCCCCACCTCTCTATTCTCCTCGAGCACCGACGAAACGACTGTGCAAGAGACTTGGCCTCTTCTCCTACATCAGATGGTTCGCCATTAACCCTGGCAAACCCGGCATACAGCATCCTCGGTCGACGCCAGAGATCCACATTCTCCAAGAACTCGTCGTTCTCCTTTCCACGGAAGCTTCGCCAATCGTCCTCGGTCCTCTCTGAACGATCTTTGGCTTTGCGGACCTTGATTGATTCTTCTTCCGAATCATAGTCTGCCGGCAAGTATCGTATACGCTTCCAAGCCCTCAAGATTGGACTCTCCGCTTCCCGCTTGTCACGAGCCCGATTTTGCGCTTTTCGTACTTGCCTGTCGAGGGTATAGTCGATCTGAAGCTTGCGGTGGTTGATGACCGCTGACTGGTGCTGTGTAATGCCGCGGTGTCGTTTCTGTGCCTGATAAGATGGTGTCGGTACATGGTCTCGAGTAGCTGGCGTCTGGAAGGAAAGGTTCGATCCTGGTGACATCCCAGTCGCCGCCGCCAGCTTGTTGCCGCTGTTCAAGCCCGACTGGGTCATCGTTGGCGGTCCGTCACTAACGAAGCTCAACTGACCAGTGTTGGGAAGTAATGGGACATGATCTTGAGACGAGCGTGGTGCGCCGCTGGCTTGTCCTTGATTCTCCGCCTTCTTGTGTCGTCGCCAGTTGCCTCGACCAGGCCCTTTCTTGACAGGCGGAGCTGCTTGGGGCGCTTGATGGGGTGGAGAACGGTCTGCTCCCGGATCGTCGTTGTTGAGGAGGGTATTGATGCGCATATCACCACCAGGCTTCGTGTTCACGGCTTGGAAGGCACGGGATGCAGCTGGCGAAGGCGAGCGAGTGTACTCACTTCCTGTCTCATGCTGCAAGCCACTCCTCCCAACAGATGTAGCTGTAGATATATCGTTAGCGTTGGCCAGCAAGGTGCTCGACTCCAAACTTACGAATGCCTCTGTAATATCCAGCCTCACTGCCCTCATCGTCACTAGCATGCACGCCGTGTCCTGATGTCAAGCCTTTCTCCTTACGAGCGCGCTTGAGAGCAGTCATGGCTGGACTGGGTTCACTGGCCAAGATGGATATGCGCTCCTTTCTTTTGACCTCTCCAAATAGCTTCTCCTCTTCCGTGTCGACATTCTCTTGCTCCGCCTGTTCTTCGGTAAGGCTTTCCAGAGTCGGCACCTTCAATGGTGACACATCCGTCTCTTCCTCCCCTTCTCCATACTGTCCAGGGCCGAATGGGTTGCGCTGGCTGTCTGCAGCACTGAAATCGCTCTCAAGATACCACCAGATCAGCCACAAGAAAGCCTTGGCTCTGCTAGCACTGCTCAAGCTCGATCTCATGACCAGGTCGAAGAAGTCTCGTGGGGCGGGGAAATGCACTTCGCTGATCTTGGGTGCGTACTGGCTCATGACGAAGATGAGATTGACAGGATTCGTTCGCGGGATGGAAGCGGCCCTGATGTCTTCCATGGTGCTTGGCTGAGGTTCGTCTTCTGTTGCGCCTTTGAGGATGGATTTGAGGCGAGGCGCATCTTGCAGCTGCTTGTAAGCGTTGGGGTCTTGGTGGGCTTGCAGGGCTGGGATTGAGTGGTATGTTCGAAGCTGAGCGCGCATCTCGGGGAAGACTATATCTTGTCAGTCAAAGAGTATGAAAACATCGATCTCTTCTTCTTACAGTTCAAAGTCGTGTTCATGCGGCCCACGTTGACCAAGAGACAGACCATGGCCATACTAATAGCACCATCTTGATCCTGCAGCAGCTTCTCCTTCAATATCTTGCTGCACTTGCTGCTCTTCGCCATGGCATCGATGTAAATGTCGGCAAAGGTATGTCCATTCGTGCCGTCGCTGTACTTGGTGAAACATTTGGTCTGGTCATGGAAGACGAGCTCCAGGAAGTCAAACTGTATGTCCTTCCGCCAGAGGGGAATTCCATCTTCTTTCTTCAAATGCCGTATCTTGTTGCCAGAGTAGACAGACGACGTTGCGCCGCTAGCATTCCGTCGAGTCGAGGTCGTTGTGGATGTGTACAATGGCTCGTCGCCGTCGCCGTTCTCGGCAGCTTTGGTGCTGTCGGCCTTGGGTGTAGCGACAGCATCGTCATCAGCCGGGTCGTCGACCTTCTTTCGTGGAGGCATTGGGTCTTGTTCGGCGGGCGGTGGTGGGTCGGGAGGTGCTGCAGGCGGTGCAGCGTCCTCAGCGGGATGGAGGATGTCGCTGAGGGAGGCCATTTTGGCAAGGTTAGGCGTGTTTCAAGAGCACCAGGGCGACTCAGATAAGCGTCGCGTGCTGATGCTTCTTTGATTAATCACTCCAATCGGCGGCGCATGACTCTGGCTATGGATTGACGGGGATGTATTGGGCATGTGACAGTCGCATGGTATGGGGCAGGAGGTGGGTGAATGTTGGACGAGGCGCGATGAGATGGCAGACGGCGCATCGCTCCTTCCTGGCCAGTCGCCAACCTTACGTGGCTGTTGCTCGTGCAGGGCATCTTCCGAACGCCGATCTCGAAAGTGGGTCCATACCGAAGGCTCTCTTTTCCAACCACGCCTGCCAGAAATAACACTCCCAAACAATCCACTCTTCCAATTCCAGACAGTGCTAATTACCTCCTACCAACAGCACCCGATTGCCATTGATCGAGAGTTGTACAGAAAACTTCTGTCATCGGTTTGCCGAGACCCAGCTGACAACGTGGTGGCGTTGTGATTCGTTTGCCGAAGACTCTCTTCACACAGCAATCAGCCAATCACCTATATACAGACGCAACATCCACCAACATCGTCCGCACAAGTCGACAGCATAGCCTCTGCAAGGAGAGTGCTTCTGGCGCTCAATCTCAGCCTCTTCATCATGCCGGCATCAAAGCAGGCGCCCCCTCGCTTCAAGACCATCCAGACACTTCAAATCGACTACGCACCGGTCAAGATCACCCAGTATGAGTCGACCAGGACGGGTATGCGAGTCGCCGTTGTCGACAAGAAGGGCCCGAAGGTTGAGGGTGAGTTCGCACTTGCCACTGAGATTAACGACAACTCTGGAGCGCCACATACCCTGGAACATCTAGTCTTCATGGGCTCGAAATCATACCGATACACTGGCCTCCTTGATAGACTCTCATCTCGGGCATTTAGCACTACGAATGCCGGCACTGCAACAGACTATACGTCTTACTCCCTCAAGACCGCCGGCTGGGAAGGATTTGCACACATTCTGCCGGTTTACCTAGAACATCTCATCGTGCCAACTATGACGGATGCCGCTTGCTATACCGAAGTACATCATATCGACGGTACTGGTCACGATGCGGGTGTTGTCTACTCAGAAATGCAAGGCAGAGAAAATAGTTCGATGGATTTAATGGAGCTGCATCGTCGGATTTTGCTGTATCCTGAAGGCAATGGTTTCAGGTCTGAGACTGGTGGCATGACGAAGGAGCTGCGAGTGCTTACTGCAGACCGCATTCGAGCATATCATAAAGAGATGTATCAGCCGAAGAACCTCAGAGTGATCGTCACTGGTGAGATTGACCACGACGAACTGCTGCAGATCTTGGATGACTTCGAGTCGACGATTATCGACGATGTGCCTCCCCTTGAAGCACCTTTTCGTAGACCTTGGGTTGAGTCGAAGCCGACTCCACTTTTGAACGAGACCAAGGTCGACACCATCGAATTTCCCGAAGAGGACGAATCTATGGGTGAGATCACAGTCGGCTTCCTTGGCCCTAACTGCGACGACTCTGTGGGCAATGCCGCGCTTGCGGTACTGTTGAGTTATCTTGCCAACAGCTCGGTTGGTGTCTTGGAGAACACTCTGGTCGAACGAGAGCAGCTCTGCAGTGCCGTCTACTATGAAACTGAAACTCGACCAGACGTTGTCGTCTGGTTCGACCTGACCTCAGTCGAGACTGAGCGCTTGGAGGAGGTGTACAAGCGGTTGATCGAAGTGTTGAAAGAGACAGTGCAGAAACCACTCGACATGGACTACCTCAATGACTGCATCAAGCGGGAGAAGAGGCAGCTCAAGGAGCGAGCTGAAGCTTCCGAAGACTTCTTCACGCAACCTCTCGTCGAAGATCATTGCTTCAGCAGCAGAGACGGCCGAAATCTAAAAGATCTGGAGAGCTTACAGGATATCGACACAGTCGCGGCGTGGTCTGAAGCACAGTGGAAAGACGCGCTGTCCAAGTTCTTCGTGGACAATCATCATGTCTGCGTCCTGGGTGTGCCTTCGAAGGAGCTCCAAGAGAAGAACACTGAAGATGAGAAGGCACGCGTCAAAGCACAGCAGGAGAAATTCGGCGAGGACGGTCTCAAAAAACTCGCAGAACAACTTGAACTGGCCAAGGCGAAGAACGGCCAGGTCATACCAGATTCATTGCTGGAGCAATTCCCGATCCCCAAAGCTGAGTCTGTCCCTTTTATCGACACGATCACGGCTCGGTCTGGCGCTGCAAGGAAGATGGGCAATCTCGACAACGACATGCAAAAGATCATAGACAAGGCCGATGACGGGTCTCCGTTGTTCATCCACTTCGAACATATCCCTTCCAACTTCGTCAAGATCAAACTGATTATGGGCACATCTGCTGTGCCTGATAAGCTGCGACCAGTATTGAGCCTCTACCTCGCCAATCTCTTCACAACGCCCGTCAACCGTGACGGCAAACGTATCGAATTCGAGGACCTCGTCTTTCAACTGGAGAGGGAGACAATCTCATACTCGATGTATGCGGCACGCGGAAACCAGCAAATGCTGAGCTTGAGCGTTCGAACAGAGCCAGAATCTTACGAAAAGGTCATCTCATACATACGTACGGTCTTGTTCGATGCCATTCACGACCCAGTGCGGCTCCACGCATCGCTCACGAAGCTCTTGGCCGATCTGCCTTCAGAGAAGCGTGCTGGAGATGCGATGGCATATGCAGTCAACACCATCATCAACACCAACCGCACCTCAAATGGTCGTGCCACTAGCACACTCACCAAGACGCTCTACCTGAAGCGTCTCCGCAAGCTATTACGACAAGACGAGCAAGCAGTCATCTCGAAACTCCAAGCCCTCTGCGACGCTCTCCACCGGCCAGAGAACTTTCGCGCATACGTCGCCGCAGACCTCACCAAGCTCCCTAACCCGGTCTCTGCCTGGCGACAACTCACCAACGGCCTTGACCTCAAGAAAGACCTCTCCCCTCTCGATGACGTGAAATCAGTTCAATCCGACATAGGCAAGAGCCCCGGCTCGGCAGCCTACGTCGTCCCTATCGCCGCCGTGGACTCGTCCTACTGCCTCCTCACAACCAAAGGCCCGGACTCCTGGGAACACCCCGACGTCCCCGCCCTCGAAGTCGCCATCGCCTTCCTGCGTGCCGTCGAAGGACCCCTCTGGACATCCATCCGCGGTACAGGACTCGCATACGGCGCTACGGTTAGGAAGAGCATCGAGAGCGGGAAAATCAATTTCTGGATCGACCGTTCGCCGGATTGCTACAAGGCCTTCGTTGCTGGCAAGGAGGAGATTGAGGGCTATGCCAGTGGTGCGAAGCCTTTGAAGAAGCTCTCCATCGAAGCCGCGGTTGGCGAACTCGTGTTCGAAATGGCGGATAACGCTCCCACGATGGGCATTGCCGCCGACGAGTCGTTCGCTGACCAGGTTCTGCGAGGCGTAGGCAAGGACCACTCGAAGCGCTTGCTAAAGGACATCATGGCAGTTGGAATTGAGGAGGTCAAAGCGGCGATGGCGAAGTGGTTGTTGCCGTTGTTCGACCCCAAGAGTGCAAATTTGGTGGTCACTTGTGCGACGGGCATGCAGGAGAAGATGGTGGAGAATTTTGGCAAGGTTGGGTTTGAGGTGCAGGCGAAGCCTTTGGAGTTCTTTCAGGATGATTATGGACTTGAGGAGCCGGATGGGGATGATGATGAGGATGATGATGAGGACGACGACGAAGATGATGATGACGAGGAGGGCGATGAGGATGAAGAGGACGACGAAGGAGAGGAAGAGGCCTGAATTGATGATATTGTGTGAGATGATCAAGGGATAGAGAAAAGATGCATATGCAGCGCAGCATACGGTCGAGAAGCATGACATGGCAGAAACGAATGACTTGGCCTACCTCTTCGACCTTCACCTCGTGAGGACATTGCTCATGAAGACTTGATCAGGGAGTCCGGTGCTCTGATCGCAGAGGTGGTATACTCACCCTTCTAGAAAGACCGCGCGTCGGTCGTCGTCGACGTACATCTACACAATCACGACGGTTCCATCCACCGAGCCAGTGATTCTGCATCCCCTCCTGCCTCAGAAGCACTACGCGGCATTTCTCGTCGTTGACGTAGACCTTCACAGTTACAAACGATTGCCTTGTGAACCAGATGCTTACAGGTAATACAACGATGAGCTCGTCTTGCCGGCCTCAAATCACACCGTGCTGATTGGTGACTCTGGTGTACGTGTCCCATCTTGCTTCAATTCTTGGCACAGAAAAGCTGACATGTGACGCACACCTCGTAAGATGGTATAAGGCAATCATCGCTATTGCCTGAGGTAGGCAGGCAGCAACCATTTTGTCATGCTTCAACGTCGAAGGACATGCTGTTCGATTTATCATGACCGCTTGCTTCATTGACAGTCGTCTGTGCGGTACACCGAAGAAAGCCATCCGCTTGGCGTCGTCGCACATTGGATCCTCGTGGCCAAGGATAGAAACGCACGCGTTACACACCAACGCGCCATGTCTTTGTTGGGGGATTCCATTGACCTGTTCTCGGTGGTGTCGCAAAACATGGCTTGTCGCTCTGGATAGCGTGGTCTGAGCATGGCAGTGACGGCGGCAGCAATGCCATGTGTCGTGTGATGTTTCATCGAGAGACAAGATTGGAGTTTTTCCGCGTGTTGTGTCTTTGTGCGTGCAAGTTACTTTCAGAGGTTACGCTGTACCTGGCTGCCTTTCGGTCAGCTGCGTAAGGCGTCTGTCGTGTGCCTGCGGGAGCGAAGCACAATGATGTCGTTTTGATTCCTGGGCGCGGCGGGATTCGTTGCTGGGAGTGGTACGATCGAGGGACGGTGCTGTGACTCTTTCATCCCATGCGATATGCTGGTCGCGGCGGGAGGTGGCATTGCGTGGCAGGACAGAAAGTACAAGATACCATTTTCTCGATTTTGCTGTGAAGTGTTTGCCTTGTTTTCTCGGCTAGTGTCGGGAATTCTGATGATGAGGCTCTTTCAAGGTTGCACAAGGTAGGCAAAGCCTATTGAGCCGACGTGAGATGGACCTGCAGGAACCGTCGCCCGGTCGATGGTCGATACATCATCCCTCTCGTCATGCCTGTAATGACTCGTCGGGAGGAGGCGTTGCTGCCGGGACGGAGACGGCGGCGGCCGCCCGACCAGGAGGGCGGCCATGTTGCTTTCAGTCAATCAAGACGTTCGCCGGTCTGGATGAGTGGTTTCTGCTTGCGAATCAGTAATTCAGAGTTCACGGACTTGAGCGACGGGACGGCCTCGTCGACATAAGCTTCAAGGCAACGTGAGGATGACCTCTTCTTCCCATGCCGCTCTGCCGCCCTGCGGCATTGACGACATTCGTCGCCATACTTGACGTCGCTCCCAAGAGCCCACCGCGGGCCGGCCATACGAAGTGTTCGTTCGGTTGCCGCCAATGAGGCCTATCCAGAGGCCAGTTGGTCATGAGTTCCAACCGCAAGCCGAACTCCCGGCTTGTGGGATCAGCTGGTCGACGAAGGATTCGGTTCGCCGGTTCCTGCTGCTGCTCGGCACATCATCGCCCTGCCTGCAAATCATCTGTCTCGCAGCTGTGCAGCGCAGTGGCGCCTGTCAATCTAGCAGTAGTCGAGTGGGTTTGCCAACTGGGCGGTGTTGGTGTATCGACAGGGCCGAAAACGTGGTTTCTAAATCGCGCCCTTTGCTGCAGCATCCAAGTCTTTTCGGTGTTGACAGCGGGACTCCGCCCACAGTTTTGACCCGAAAGCAAGCAACACTGCAGGAGGGTCTCTTGCGCGCGTGCTTGTGCGACATGGGTGATTGAGCGTGCCGGGCGCTTGGGTTGGCGCAGCATGTACTTTTTAGAGGTATTCTGGTGGGGGCTGAGAACTGGCTGGAGACCACCAACACGACCGTCCAGCAGGTCGCAGCCGACGAGATGTGGACGCTGCGTGTTGCTGTTTCAGCGCAAAGCCATGCATCTTTGCAGTGGACAGGAATGGGTACTGAATGCTGGCGGAGATCTAGTTGGTGTTCGTGTACCTGCAGACGCGCATGCACGTCGAGATCGAGGTGTGGATGAGGAGGAGTTGGATTCGCTGGAGCTGGCGATGGAGGTGTGCGGGCGGCTGGATGTTGGCTGTTACCTTGATAACCGTAATTGGACTAGCTTAGAAAGAGTCACCTGACCTTGTCTCGCAGTCCAATGCTGCAAGTGAATGAATTTGACTTCAAACACGGCAATGGAAAAGAGGGCGTTTGTTGTGTGCAACGCCGATTTCGAATGAGTGATCAACTCTTGTATGATATGGATGTTTCCATAGAGAATTAATGAATATTCCCGATGAGTTTTACGTATATTTCAAACGGCTGAAATGCTGCATCCCCCACTTCGGCAACAGACGTCTTCTCCGATGAACAACAGCGCTCGCTCTTCTCTTCTTTCTCTCAGCTCTGCGCAGCACGGCACACGTCCCTCTCCCTCGACGCAGCTTTCCTCCAGCTTTGGCTGACGTGCATTTCGGTTTAGCCATTACTCTTCACTCACTCACACTCTAGGCAGTCCTCGGGCCGGCTCTCACCCTAGGCACCTAGGCACCAACTGGCCTCAGGCTCTTGGTCACGACACCATGGACCTCGCCCGCCGCCCGTCAGTGACTGTTGACTTGCGCATGGGCCTCCGCGCATCCTCTCTGGGCACCGGCTCCTGCCTGTGGCCGGCCATTCACCTCGCCCTAGCTCTTTCTGCCTTGCGGAATCCTCTCACCTATCTCCCTAACCGTCGCTAGCCTCGAATGGCTCGCCACCCGTCACAACCAATAGCAATGGAACCAGCGTCTTGTCTCGTCAGGGCGACAACTGGTATCACAAGACAGGCCCACTGGTCTGAGCAAGACGATGTCTTTGTAGTCACGAACTGGAGGAGGCTAAGCCCTGCTGTCCTGAGGCCGCTCCTCGAGTCACCCTGCATAGCCATTCCTCGACTCTAGCAACTGTAAGAAGGCAGCATGTGGGTGCCTTTTCCTCGTCTCTTTATCCCTCACCAAATACTATATATCTCCTTATAGTCTCTCGTCAATCTATCCTTCATACAACACCAAATCAAAACACAACACAACACACCTGAACCGCAACCAACACACTGCAATCCTTCGTCTTAGCGACTACAAGCATACAGCTCCTCCAAGCCACCACGACAACCACACTGCCGAAGACGAGTGCCAACAACATACAAATGACTCGCAACTACGCTGTTGCTGCTCCTCCAAACCGACCTCCTCGCGACCCTCAACCACGAGACGACGGCATGCACCGCAACATCAACAACATGAACATGAACATGGTCTTTGCAAGAATGAACCTCAACGACCCTCACCAACTCCAACCGGCTCCTATGGGTGGCCGTATCATGGCATTGGATCCAAACCCCAGAGATCCTGGCAACGGGCGGATCGCTGACCCCAATCCTCGCGACCCAGGCAACGGGCGTCAATTCATGAGGGGACCTCAACCTCGCGATCCAGGAACCGGTCGACAATTCGCAATGGGTCCTCAACCGCGCGATGACGGCAAGAGTCGAACTCGACGCTTTGCCCGTGATCCTCAACCTCGCGACCCGGGAAACTAAGCAGTCTTTTATACTAGACTGACTGCTGCCTTGGACAACTATCATCATGACTCTACCAAGGCTACCGAGACACACTTCTTTTATCGGCGACTCAGATGACCTTGCCGTGCCACATTCGCTGGCGAGTGGCGTGGCAACGGGACATTCTGACTCTGCACTTTGACGACAAAGATGGCGGCTATTTACTTCACGGGTTGAGTGGGATTGATTTGGAACGGCGTTGACAAGAAGGAGGATCTGCTCACGCAGTCTGATGTTTGATTTGACCATGCATAGCAAGCGACTGGCGTGATTTACGATGCATAGCGATGGGGATAAAGAAGGCGTTTGAAGATACAGATCTCTCAAGCGCTGCAGGGACTGGCGGGTGGCTCATCGGCCACTGATTGTTTGGCCATTTTGATTTTGGGGGAATGGGGATCACGATAGACACGGCTTTCTTACTTTCTTTCACACGATCTAGTATCCAACAGCGTTCGCACGCAAACCAAAATCTCCCTCGATCGATTTCTCCTCGTGTTGGTTCTCTTTGACTCACATACCTGCATTGAGCGGCGTCGACACCGATGCAGTGCATTTCGATTTCGAGTCACCTCCTCTCCCTCCCTCTCAACGAGCACTTTCTGCTGGCGGCGGCCGCCCGCTCAAGGTGAGGTGGCTTTGGACTCCCCACCAGGTCCCGCGAGAGGCGACTGATGCCTCCTGTGAGCGAATGACAGGGCGATGGGACCGTCTTCCAACGCAAAGTGATGTCGAAGGATGCCGAAGGATTTGGGGCCGCCCAGTCGGTCGGGTCAGCATTTTGAGCCTCAATTGCCGGTGGGGAGGGAAAGTCGTGGTACTGGTGTTGACTTGGATGGTGAATGGGGTTATTGGGTCGACGAGGACGGCAGGACCATGGTTTGCGTGCTGCTGCGTCTTCAGTTGAGCTGGGAGCTCAATGGCCTTTGAAACATGATTTGGAAACTACCAAACTCGGAAGTGGAAGGAGGTGAAGTTGATGCGAAGAGATCCGCGACTTCTTGCCGTCCGCTCAAGTCGGAGTCGCCGCTGCCGGGAGACGATCGCTCCTGGACCTCACTCCATTCGCGACAACCACACATTCACCTTTCTGAGTATATCTCAAGAGCAGGTCCAGAACGATAACCCCTTGTTTGTGCTTTGGGAACCATAGGACCTTCATTTCAGCTCGGGAGGCCGACAGCACAACCCGCAGTGAACGTATAGAAAACAGCACTCATCTCCAACGAGATTGGTCTACACATCTCGTCAAAGGGGTAGATCAGAGTCCAAGGAAACACTTCCAGGCTTTCGAAGACTGCGCTCGTTACTTTCATGGAACTACGATGGAATCTGCCACAACCTCCGAGCCATTCTCTGCACTGCCAAAGGAGCTGCGTTTGATCATCTGGGAATTCGCCTTCTGCGTGCCAACTGCTGCTTTTGCAAGGAAGCAAGCTTGCCCAGACCGCTCAATGTCACGCGCGCTCCGGCGCTTCGATTTGTCAAGTTAAGGCGTTGCTCCCTACAAGATTGGCCTGTCCTGCAAAGAGGCATGGAAGGCAATGGAGGACACATGCCTGAAGTTTGCGCCAGAAGTTCGTGAGCCTGACAGTCTAATCTGGACCTACTGGCTCAACCCAGATTGTACGCTGTTTGTTCTCGACGAGGACTTCGTCGACGTCTTCGCACTCACCCCATGTCTGGGCACTGCCACTTTTCTCAAAATCAAAAAGGTTGCTTTACTATGGCGCCACGAGGACGTTCTCATTAGTACACGCGCAAGGCTGCAAGAGCATTGCCCTGCACTGGACTCGATATTCACACAGCGAATACGAGGGGGCAGAAGAAGACGACCAGCTGACACGAATCTCAAATCGATGATGTCCTGCAGCTTCAAGATCATGACTGCCGACGATGCTGTAGTGCTCGAACCCCTTCCAAGGCAACCCAATCTAATCGAGAGGTGCATTATCACAATGTTCCCCGACAAACCTGTGCGCGTGCACTTCATCCGCTCAGAGTGGGCGGTTGTAGCAGAAGTGCTAAACGACCCAGCTTCGGATGCGATCAGGTTGTTCAAAATCGACTTTGCGCTTTGGGGAGTCGACCATACCGATGGCAAGAGGATCAATCTGTGAGCCCCAAGTCTCCTGCGTGTTCGCTCCAGTGACCCCTGGACTGTGTAACTGGAACGACCTTTACCATCGGCCGACTTGAGAAGCGTTAAGTGCCAGTAGAATTGGAGTTCAAGCCACGTCCATCCACTTGCTGCGTGGATGACTAAGGCACGCAACAGTCCACCGGCAAACATTCTTGAAGCAGCCAATTCGAGATTCTGCTCTTGTGTGGCAACATTATGCTGATTTCTCGACGGCGGTTCAAACTCGCTTCACGGATTTGACTAAGACCATGGCGACCATGCAAGTCCTTTCCGACCTTCACCTCGAGACACCAAAGTCCTACGACCTCTTCGACATCACCCCAAAGGCGGACTACTTGGCGCTTCTCGGGGACATCGGCAACATTGTTCCGCATCGAGAAGAATGTCTGGCTTTCCTGAGACGCCAGCTGCAGCATTTTCGAGTTATACTTCTGGTACCAGGCAACCACGAAGCATTCGGCTCATCTTGGAGCGAAGCCATGGCCGTTCTGAGACAATTTGAGGAAGAGATCAGCCAGCAGCGTAGAGAGAGCCACGGTGCAGGACTCGGCGAGTTCGTGCTCCTCGATCGTGGTTTGTTCGAGTTGCCTACAGATGATGGAAAAAAGATCACCGTTCTGGGCTGCAGCCTATTCTCGCACGTCCCACCACAGCGAGCCATGAACGTTGAGATGGGACTCAATGACTTCTACCACACCACCGATTGGGACATTTGCAAGCACAATGAAGCCCATTCCCGCGACCTCACCTGGCTTAATGAGCAGGTCTCCAGAATCCAAGGACAAGACAGTGCCAAGATCATCGTATTCACGCACTGGAGCCCCTCGACCGATACTCGATCAACAGATCCAAAGCATGCGAATAGTGCGATCAACTCGGCCTTCTCCACGGATCTTTCTGATCAACTCTGCTTCACAAGCGACAAAGTCGTGCTATGGGTATTCGGCCATACGCATTACAACTGCGACTTCGAGGTTGAGCGGAAGGAGGCGAAGCCCTTGCGACTTGTGACGAATCAGAGAGGTTACTACTTTGCTCAGGCGGCTGGCTTCGATGTCGAGAAGATCATTGAGATATGAAGAAACGCGGCGTCTTTCGAACCCGAAGCAGGATAGTAGCGCGGTTTGCTCCCACCGCTGCCCAGCATCATCGATTGCAGAAGGCTGATGTTCTTGGCATGGACGAGCATATGGTTGATCGAGAATTCGAGGTCAGCATCTCACAGAAGCGGTGGTGTGGCCTGCGCTGACATTAGACAGGCTGATGAAAAGATAAGCTGGAGCAGGGGGAATTCAGGGGTTCATTCTGGGAAAGGTAGATGGAATATGAAGCACAGCACTGGCCGTGTATGCTACATAAGCCAAAACGAACCCACTCACCATGACATCGTCTCGTTTGAATACTCTATATTCGATCCCGTCTCCCCCAACAACCCCACAACCACAGCCCGACAAACATCAGCCATAGCCGGCGTCTCACATTTAACAACCGCAAGATCCCTCTCGCACTTCTCCCTTGTATGCACCCTCCAGTCTCCATTCCAACTCAACCAATCGAGCCCGGAGGCGGCGCACTCAAGGTTTCTGTCCTTAGCATCAAGTCTCTCCGAAGAAAAGCATGGCAGCGAGATACTGGATGTACCTGGCCACTGTTCGTGGACGCTGAAGATCAGGAGATAGAGTCTGCCAGGCGAAACGATGACAGCAGTCATTCCCGCAGGACCGGTAGGGTGCCGCTGGGCTCTCGGTCTTGTTGGATGATACAACGCAAGTCGACTGATATCGAGATGGCTGGCTCCATCGCGCACATAACCTTCCACAAGCGTCTGGAATTGTTCATAGAGGGCGAACTTAGTCTTTAGATACACCCTTTGGAAAGCCGGCCAACGAGAACCCTACCAGCGGGCCAGACCTGCAATGAGTTGGCGAAATGAGACCGTGCATTCGATGTGCGACGGGCCAGCGGAAGGTGCCTTTGCCCAACCGCCGTGCGCCACTTCGCAATGTGTAGGACGCTGAGAATTGCTCGATCGGCAGACTGATTTGCGTGGAGCAAATGAGCATTAACGAGATATTTAAGCAATCTGACACGCCAATGACTGCCTTTGTCACTGGCTACTTGGTGTTGGCTTTCCTCTTCGGTTATTTCGGCTTTGATCCACCTTTCCACGTACGCATGCAGTCCCTCCACCATGGCAAAGTAGATTAGGTAGAAGCAAGCACTTCCATCGGCGACCAATGGCAACCAGATCCTGGAATCCGCTCATAGATGCTTCAGTACATCTTCAGCAAGTCGATGCTGGGTACCTGCCAGGACTGCACCGCGCTTGAATCTCTTGATACCAAAAGCCTGGGCGCCAGCTGCAATAAGACATACTCGGATGATATCTAAGTTGGCTTGATCCTTGTCAATTCTGTCTTTTAACGCCTTGAAAGGGTCGGTCGAGCCGGATGATAAGGAGTCCTGCAATTGCACAGCTGCAGGTGAAAGTGGCGGGAGATGGTCTTGAGCTGTCGCAGCGTTTCTCTCCTGCCATGTAGGAGTGCCTTTGTGTACTTTCAGAAATTCGTGTTTCCACGTCTTCTTCGCTGGGATGTGTACCGTGGCATTGCTATAACCACGGGAGAGCGAGCAGAAGTTCCATTGCCCAGAGAATGGCCTTAGGTGCGGGATTTTAGATAGACACGGCCTTGATAAAGTGCTGTGGCTGATTCGCGCCAAAAACATGAATTGTAGAGTCTGATTCGGTCCGGCGGTATGCAGTGAAGTCTAGATATTCATGTCGGTGTCCCGAACGAAAGGCAGAAGGAGATTGACTTTCGGCGTTCAACCGAAGCGAGCCGCTAGTCCTGGTTTGACTCACTAGCGCCTCTTCGACTCAGGAACATTGAAGATTCTTGAGCGTGACTCTTGCAATCACAACAACTTACTTCCATACACACACCTCATACCGACCATGTCGACTGTCCTCCACGTTCGTGCAGAGACCAAGCCATTGGAGCATCGTTCAGCGGTGACTCCCTCAGTTGCCAAAAAGCTGGTCGAAGCCGGCTACACGGTCAATGTCGAGCGGTCTGAATTGAGCATCTTCAACGACTCTGAATATGAGGGCACTGGCGCCAATCTTGTGCCCACGGGCTCCTGGACCGATGCGCCCAAGGACCACATCATTGTGGGTTTGAAGGAATTGCCAGAGGAAGACTTTCCTCTCAAGCACACAGTATGCCATGAATCGCGGTTGTACCAAATCGATGCTTGCTAAACAATGTCACAGCACGTACAGTTCGCCCACTGTAAGCTTTCCATCCATATAAGCTCTGCTGTATCGATTTATGCTGATGATGAGAAGGCTACAAAGGACAAGGTGGCTGGGACAAAGTTCTTGGCCGCTTCCCTCGTGGCAAAGGCACTCTGCTTGACCTGGAATTTCTGGAAGACGGTACGGATGCTTCCTGCATGACATGGTATCATATACTGACCGATCTTGAACAGAGCAAGGACGACGAGTTGCTGCATTCGGCTATGTACGTCGATACGATTGATCCACTGACCCTTTGCTCACTGTCAACTAGCATGCTGGCTTTGCGGGTGCTGCGCTTTCCCTTATGGCGTGGTTGTGGCAACTCGTTCACGGAAAAGATAAGCCCCTCCCTGGGGTCAAGGCTTACGACAATGAGAGCCTTCTCATCAACGATGTCAAGAAAGCCGTCGCAGAGGGCAAGGCCAAAGCTGGTCGTTTGCCGAGAGTGCTTGTCATCGGCGCCCTCGGCCGATGTGGTCGAGGTGCTGTTGATCTTTGTGTTAAGGCTGGTGTTGAGGATATTCTAGTAAGACCCTTACCACTCTCACTATATCCAATACTCACCATTGCTTTAGAAGTGGGATTTGCCGGAGACCAAGGCCAAGCCCGGACCATACCAGGAGATCGTGGAGTCCGACGTCTTTGTCAACTGCATTTATCTATCTGCAAAGATCCCACCGTTCATTGACCAGCCGTCCCTCGCATCGCCCAACCGCAAGCTGAGCGTCGTCTGCGACGTGTCCTGCGATACCACGAACCCGAACAATCCAATCCCAATTTACGACATCAACACCACGTTCGATCAACCGACCGTTCCTGTCAAACTCGCAGCAGAAACGAATGACGTTCGACTCAGCGTCATCAGCATCGATCATCTGCCTTCGTTGCTTCCAAGAGAAGCGTCTGAGGCGTTCAGCAATGCCCTACTGCCCAGTCTTCTCCAGTTGAAAGACTGGAAGACTGCTCGCGTGTGGCAGCAGGCAGACAAGCTCTTCAAGGAGAAGTGCGCGACTCTTCCAAACGGCGCCGTAGATGGTCATACCGAGCTGCTTGCCTCGCAATCGTAGGTTGGCGGTTTGTCGCAAGGCTAGAGATAGACGGCAATTTGAATTGTCTGTGACCACCTCGCGGGTGGACAGGACACAGTACAACTTCCAAACCTCCCTTTCCGCCGTCGACTGCATATGTTCGGCAGACTCCCGCTAGGTGCACAACGCTTCCAGCGAATAGCTAATACGCCAGAGTTAGACAAGGTCGCGCTGCCACATCGGATTCCGCGCCGGCACGTGAGGGGTTTTGAAATACGCATCCAACATCTCTTTCCAGTCACACCAAGCGCCGTGCTTGTGCGAAATGATCAGCTTGGACATCTTCACCGTCCGGACTGGGCCATCCTGCAACGCCACTCTCCAGTCCAGAGACTCCCCAACACCTGCCGAGCAGATCTGATTCCACTTCTCCCACGCTCGCTGATAACAAGACTCAGGTTGGAGGTGCATCTTGTCGAAGAGAGCGTATTGCGGGTTGTGCTTCGACATGGACGAGAAGCCCAGTGTGATGGAACCTCTAATGTCGTACCACCTCGCCCGTGACCCAGAGCCCAGAGTGAAGCCCAAGGAAATGAGAAAGTTGGGTATGACCTCGGCCTGCATCGTGTCCCTGGCGCAGGCTTGAAACTCTTTGCTTACGTATTGGAGGGACAGCCAGATATCTGCAGGGTCGACATGGCGGAAGACTTCTAGCCAGATTTCGGTAGGGAGACTTGGGACGCCCATGCTTGGTATGCTTTGAAACTGGGAGGGTTGGTCTTATAAGAAGATGTGTTCTTGGTGATTATGGAACTGAACAACTGTCATACGATGTCGTCACTCATCACAGTCGCTCTAATGTATCGAGGTTGCCGGGAATAGTAGGGTGTAGAGGAGTAGAGGGATTTGAATTGACCTCACCTCGGCTTCCTCGTTTAAGGTTCGGGCTAAGTCCTCCCGACTCCCGCTTTCAGACCTCACAGCAAGTGGACTAGTGACATGTGAATGCATCTGCAATGCGTTCACGCGTAGCTCCCCTCACATACGCGCTCACACCACTTCAATCCCTCCTGCTGCGGAGATGGAGACCACAATGGGTCTGCCAAAGCTGCAGGTCTATACGACAGCCATGGCGGGCTCTGGCAACCTCGACAACACCGGCTGAACAGGAGAAGCCATACTATGTCACCACGCCGATATTCTACGTCAATGCCGCCCCTCATGTCGGGCACATGTATACTATGATCCTGGCCGATGTGCTGAAGAGATGGCAAGAGCTGAAAGGACGGAAAGCGGTGCTTCTGACAGGGACCGATGAACATGGTATGAAGATTCAGCGGGCTGCAGCGAAGGCAGGCATAGACCCCAAAGAGTTCTGCGACAGTGGTGCGGAGGTCTTCAAGACACTGTCGGGCCAGGTGGATATGAGCAATGAGATCTTCATTCGGACAACGGACAAGCACCATGTGGAGGGCGTGGAATACGCGTGGCAGATGCTTGAGGAGAGGGGATACATCTACGAGAGCAAGCATGAGGGTTGGTATAGCGTGTCTGATGAGACATTCTATCCTCACAGCCAGGTGCACTTGATCGTGGATCCACCCACGGGGAGGAAGATCATGGCGAGCATTGAGACGGGAAAGGAAGTGGAGTGGACCAGTGAAAGGAACTACCACTTTCGATTGAGTGCATTCAGAGACAAGTTACTGGAGTTCTACGACAAGAACCCCAAATACATCGTTCCGAAGAACAGAATGGAAGATGTGGTGAGACAGGTCAAGACTGGGCTGGAAGACCTCTCGATTTCGCGGCCCGCAGACCGGCTCACATGGGGCATTCGTGTGCCTACGGACTCCTCACAGACGATCTATGTCTGGCTTGATGCTTTGCTCAATTATGCCACCGCCGTTGGCTACCCGTTCACGCCAGGCCAAGAGTCCAAAGGTGGCTGGCCGGCTGATGTCCAGGTCGTAGGCAAGGACATTATTCGATTCCACTGCATCTACTGGCCGGCCTTCTTGATGGCCCTGGATCTACCAATCCACAAACAAGTCCTCACTCATGCCCACTGGACGCTCGGTAGGCAGAAGATGGCGAAGAGTACTGGTAATGTCGTCAATCCCTTCTTTGCTCTTGAAAGATTCGGCATCGATGTTATGCGCTGGTTCCTGATTCATGATGGCGGTATTGAACAAGATGCTGACTACGACAACACCTACATCATCAAGAAATACAAGAAAAGTCTACAAGGCGGCCTGGGCAACCTTGCATCTCGGGTCATGGGCGGCAAGAGTTGGGATGTGGAGCGCGCTGTGAAGAGGTATGCTCATCCGGACCAGAAGCCTACCTCGTCCAGCATCTTCCAAGAGTTGGACGACAATGGACGTCAATTTCACCATGAGATTCGCCATATGCCAGGTGTCATCGACGGGCAGATGACGGGTCTGCACCCGAATCGGGCGCTGCAGGATATCATGCGAGTTGTGTACTCGGCGAATGCTTTCTTCCAGCAAGCGGCGCCGTGGCTTATCGCCAACAAGCTCCGTTCTGCCATGGCGGACACTACGGGACAAGAATTGCGGATGCTTGATGACGAGCGAAAGGTGCAAGGAGGGGAATCGGTGGAGTTGATGGAAGCGGAGATCGATCGATCCATCTATCTCATCACAGAGACCTTGAGGATTACGGGCATTTTGCTGCAGCCGTTCATGCCGAGTTCTGGAGAGCGGCTGCTGAACATGCTTGGTGTTGGCCAAGATAGGAGGAGCTTCGAATGGGCGGAAGTGGGCAAGGATGATAGTTACGGTGTGCCAATGGAAAAGATCGAGAAGGGGGATAAGGGGCTGTTCCCGCAGCTGACGAGCGACTTCTAGGCGATCGCAGGTCTGCCAAGCTCTTTTCAAATACAACGTCAATACTCGAACGAATACTCTGTTGTCTATGTTCGAAAATCAACTAAAGCTGCAAGACGTCCACGGGTGGCAATGAGTTGGTCCCGGCGTGTTGGTGAATGGACTGAGCTTGAAAGCTCACATGCAAAGTCTTGGCACGCGTGAAATCAAGTACGCCCTCGTCATGATGTTTGTACGTTGCTTTCTCTGTTTGCCACATGCGAGCCATCGGACGTGCGACTTGGAAGCTCTCATGTTAAGATCTTTTCACCTCTGGCGACAATCTCGGTGGCATCAACATCGACCAAGCCGTGGATGTCACAATGGCTCACATCACAGAAACCTCAGGTTTCACGGTCGACGGCAGCTCCGAGTGCAGCAACACCATGACCACTACAGGAAGTCGAAGCCGCAGACACTCCACCGGGAGCACGCAGCAAGACAGCGACTCTTATTCCACGAAACAAGCCCTTGCCAGCAACGACATCCTCAACCTTCTCGACGCCACCGATTACTTCCACGTCACGATGTTTAACATCAGACAGAATACGCAGTATCAGCTGAAGGTGAAGGAAAGCACAACGGTCACGGAGCTGGCGAAGATGGTGCAGGAGGAGGAGGCGATTCAGATGAGAAGACTCAATCTGCTTCAACACAACGTCGTCAGGATATTCTGTGGGTATGCTGATGATGGAAAGCGTGATGAGACGCTTGGAAATGTGAGTTGAATTGACAGCCCTTCAAATCACTTCGCACGACTAATGACTGGCTTAGCTCGGCATCAAGGATGGAGATCGCATCAACATCGTCGTCAAGACCGAAGTGGCTTACTTTCCAAGGAGCGAGTGGTATCGAGCCGACGATGGGAGTGTCATGCTCGGAGGAGATGCGCAGCAGCGGCATCGGGAATTGGAGCGTCAGCGTATTCAGGATAGGAGGGATTCTGGCCTCTCCTGAGGGCTGATTTTCAGGGGCTTGGATGATTGCATCTCGAAAGCCTTCGCGATGACTGTTGTTTTGAACAACAAAAAGTTGATTGTTGTTTCTGAAAACGACGAGTATTCTAGCAGCATCATTGCTTCGTGCTTTCTTGCATGCTTGAAATAGCGACCTGAGACGGCCTTTCAACCTAAGCTGGGGGGTTCTGCAATAGTCGTTCCTTTGAGTGAAGTATGCAAGACCGAATTGCTAAGATAAGGAGATGCTACCAACAGCAAAGGCTGTATTAACAACAATGGTCACTTCGCGGAGAATCTTTCCCCAATTTTACACCAAAGCAAACACACCACACCAGATTCCACTTAAGAACCCAAAAGTCTTCCCCATCTCTTAAGTGTAAGCTCAACCTCACCAGCTCCCCCAAACATGAGCACCGTTCCCGTCACCGTCCACCTGCCCGCCGGCCTCGTCGACTCCATCCGCCGCCAGGCCAGCCGCAAATCCATCTCCACCGACGACATGATCGCCCTCTCCGAGAACGTCTGCAAGGGCTCCAAAGCCATCATCGATGCCGTCAAGGAAGACCGTGTTCTTCCTGGAGTACAGCACACTGGCATGTCGACCCATTCGGGCAAGCAGCGCTCCTACTGGGATTCTCAGTTCCTCATCACGATTCACGACCCGAAAAGGAAGAAAGCGTTCCCGGTCAAGGTGCGCGCAACCACGGATTTCAGTACTGTCGCGGAGATAGTGGCGATGCATGAGGGCATTCCTGTCGGTAAGGTGTTGTTGAGGGATCAGCATCACAAGGCGGTCTACAGACGGGACGGATGCGTGCAGGGCACTCCTGTGAAGTGGAAGCAGTTGGACCCAGTATGTTTGTGATTGCTCTTCTCTGGTGGCGTGGCTTACTGACTGATTGCACAGGCTGGAGTGAAGCCAGGAGACATTTTGACTCTGCATTTGAATGAGGACTTGCAGTAGGGGTCGGGAGAAGCATCATGCGCGTTCTGTTGTGTTGGTGTGTGTATCCCTAGCATGATACGACCGTCAGATGCCTTCATCGAATGAACAAGCGACGAGTGTCCATTGCTCCCAAATATCTTCACACGTCTTCTTACCATTTCTGCCTCCAATGACGCTGTCTCGTCTCTTCTGCCAGCCATCGTCACTCCTTGACCTCACTCTTCCCTGCCTTCATCACCTTCGTCTTTCCGCACGAGAGTTTGATAGGGTCCGATGCACCCCGTCGGGATATCCATTTATGAAACCTGGAGGTCGGTCAGCGGAGAGTTGAAATTAATCGGAGGCTCATTCTGACATACCGAAAGAACTGCTGCTCAATCATGTCAACGTACTCTTCAGCACTGAGACCCTTGCGATTGAAGCAGCTCCGCAACCTCCTCGCCAGTCCCCAGACGGCCTTCTCCTCCCAGGGATCCACAAAGTAGTGATGGACTTCCCAAATAGCATCCTTCGCGCGGGCTGGTAGCTTCTCCATGTTAATCTCGGGGCCGTCAAGGTGAGTACGAAGCTTGGTCATAAGGTACGCGACCTTCTCCTCTGTAACCAAGCTCCAGTCTCCCTCAAAGACCTGATGCAGCGAGTCACGCTCGGGCAGCCAGCCCAAACGCAAGTGCTCTTCTCCCGCGGCATATGTCCATATCTCGCGTTTCGGGATCAAGTCGCCGTTTGGCATGCCCTTCGCCTTGAGACCCGGCACGTCGCGATAGAGAATCTTCCGGTTCCAATAGAACAGAGGACGCAGAAGCCACTCACAAGCTTCCCACTCCTTTGTATCGTCGTACTTCGTATTGGGTACAAAACCTCCACGGGTACGTGCCGTATGCTGTCGCGCAGCTATGTAGGGTATCTCGCTCCCAGTCGTATTGTAGTCAATCCTCACGCTGTCGACCCTGCCTCTGATGCACATGCCCTCATGCTTATCAAGTAGATTCTGAATGCCTTGCAAAATGAGCGGAATGGAGCTCGCATAGTCTTGCGGGATCGGTGCTCCCAAAATTGTCTCCGTAAGGATCATCTTGGACCGCGCCTCCAACGCTTGTACCAGCACTTTGGCATAGATGTCGATCTGGGGAGCCTTGCTTGACAATTTATTCAGATCCAGTGCGTCGGGAGCTTGATACAGGTCATCCTCGGACACGACTGAAGAAACCTTAGCGTTCGTCATGATCGCGGCCTTGATCCGGTTGGCATACATGGTCGTCTGCTTCGAGAATGTGCCAAGCTTAAAGTGCGATAGAGAACTGGCTAAGCGTCTCTCGAGGCCGATCTTGAGTTTCTCTGCAGTTGAATGTGTCAGCAAGCCTTCAAGCAAAGAGCCGGTGGCGTGGTCGACCGCAAGATGATGGAGATATTTGGGAAAGGTTCGCTCACCTGAATAAGCAGCCCAGTAGGCTTTCTCTTCGTCGCTGCGCTGATGCCAAAGCTCACTTGGGGAGATGGTGGCGGGAAGAGAAGTATCATTCGAAAGCAGCGCATCCGCTTGATATTCGAACAGTGTTTGGCCGTCCGAGGTCACCCAGCGATTGATACGCTCGAAGAGAGCTGCGCGCGTAGGAAAGTCGATGTCGCCTCCGAGTTTCTCTATGGCGTCGCGAACATCTGTATTTGTGAATTTGATGATTGAATCGGCATCGAAGTTGGGCTCATGAGGACGGTCGCTCATCGCGACATCGGCGATGTTCTCCGCCGTCGGCTCGAAGGGCGAGGCCATTGGCATGGATGATGGATGTCTGCGGTGCTCGGAGTGTGCGCGAAGAATTCACTGCCAAAGTCCGGAGTACTGTTTGTTGACGGGCAAGTTTTTAGTTCTACGCTAGTCTCGCTAAAGCGTCCGCTCCTTCCCTTTCAATTCACATTCACTCACGGGGCCTTGGCAAGCATGTGAGACCCTTTCTATCCGACATCTTTGGTACGGTTACCTTACGCATGAGTAGACACTTTTGGTAGTACGTATGACTGTATGACTCCGCCTATCGAGAATGTTGACACTAGAGTCGACTTCGCCTCACGAATGGACTCTTTATTCAAATGTGGATGCAGTCATGCTTCTACAGTCGCCACTTCTTGGCAATGCCCATAGTGGTGAGGCATTGATACAAGCTGCGGGTGCTGCTCCAGGAATTGGATCCGTAGCAGTCATGCAAAATGAGTGCCTTCAAAGTGCAAAGTTCCTTTTGTGCTGACAAGAAGCCTCGACTGTGAGGACCAGCCACGAGTGGGATCTGATTGGGAATGTTGAAGACACGTCTTGAGGCTGAATACTGACCCTGCATTGTGGAAAATATGCAATGGAATCTATGCATAGTTTATGTTCTTTTTGACGAATATTTCATGCACAGGTTCTGCTCCTTGCCTTGCCACCCATCTGGCTGCCTGAGGCATCAACGCAGCCCTACCTGCCCGTCACATTCGTCAATGCACTTCGCTTCCTTCTTCCTTTTTATCATATCAGCCTCAATCAATGTTTCGTACTCGCCCCTTGAAACCTCGCATTAATGGTCATCAGACACAATCCGATGGATACACACCTCGGCGATGCTCGTTCACGCATGGTCCGGCTGCACCACTAGATACCGCGATGCAGCTCAACGCGAAGCTACGGGCCCGATGAGGCAATCGCAAAACATCCGCTCCCATGTGAAGCACCCGAGAGATCTTGATTGGATTCCTTCACACCGACTCCTTCCTGGCGACGATGTTCGATAGTCGCACGAACGAGGCTAATCGGTGAAGGCGCGATGCTTACAAGCTGCGAGAGTTTCGATGCTTCCCGCTATCTGCATGACAAAACTGTACTTGCTTGTCGGCGGATATCTACTCAAGAGAGTCACGACCGGCTCCTGTTGCATGGTTGCTCAGAGTCGGCTGATTTTACTCGTCACGTTTCCTCAGATTAATCAAAGCCAACATGGGTGAGACTAATGGAGTCAATGGACACAGCAAGAATGGACGCTCTTTCCAGACCGTCATGGAAGACTTGAGCAAACGGATTCTGAACGTCAGGCGCCCAGCAGACTTCGTTGCAGTCCTGATCTACGGCGTGCCCATCTACTCGACCATTCGAATTGGCATTGAAGCCGGCATCTTCGACCTGCTTGCCAAAGCAGGAAGCTCACTGACTGCAGAGCATATTGCTGAAACCATTGGTGAAGCAGTAGGAGATCCAGACCCGAAGGACATAGAACGACGAGACTTTGTCGTCCGCAATCTTCGAGTGCTTGCTGCACTCGGGCTCGTTGATGAAACGTCTCCTTTCACATACCATGTCAATGAGTTGACTCTGGCACTCGCAGATCCTGGACTCAATGCTGGCATCAGTCAGGTGTATCACGGTGTGATGGGACCGAGAAGCACAATGGCTCAGATGATCACCTACGCAAAAGAAAGAGGATGGAAGGCTCCTGACACGGCTCTCGATGGTCCTTATCAGAGGGCCCACGAGATCAAGGGCATGAGCACTTTTGAGCACTGGTGAGTAGTAACATGAGCTCGCGAAAGTTCACTCGGAATACGCTCGGCTGACGAATATAATGCTTCCCTTCAGGGTGAAGTGCGATCCCGAACAAATGTCCCGTCTCAACGCTTCAATGCAAGGCATGCAAGCCAACTTCACCCACTGGATGGAGTGGTTTCCCAAAGAAGCACTCTTCGGGTCTGGTGAGCGCACGCCGGAAACATTCCTCGTTGATGTGGGAGGAGGATACGGACACGACATTTCTGCGTTAGCAGCCACATACCCCGATGAGCCAATTCGAATGGTCCTGCAAGATCTCCCTGGAGTGCTTGAAGAAGGCGAGGAGAGACGAAAACAAGCAGGTCAAGTGCTTGATTCCAGGATACAGCGTCAGCCACATGACTTCTTCTCCGAACAACCGGTCAAGGGCGCAGAGGTGTACTACATGCATAAGATTCTGCACGATTGGCCTGATAAGGACTGTATTATCATCTTGGAGAGGATAAGGGATGCGTTGGCACCGGGATCAAGGATATTGGTCAACGATTGCATTCTTCTGAATCAGGGGTGCCCACTGAGGTAGGCTCACACGCATCGATGACTCCGGAAGAGCTCTGTTGCTAACTTGAATACATACCAGCGGTTGCCGACATTGCTATGCTCGCAATGCACTCCGGCAAAGAGCGTGACGAGGAGATGTGGACCCGATTGCTGTCAAGAGTGAAAGGACTGGAAATCAAGAAGTTCTGGCATTGTCCGGATGATACTGGAGAGGGCATCGTGGAGATTGTACAGACGGAGTAATTTAGTGGGTATGGCAGTCAAACCTGGATAACGCAATATTCCGTAGGAACATAACCTCTTTAACGCTATACTTTCAGCTTCAACTTCTAAAATTCGGTGTGAACCTCTTACCTGCCTATATTGCCTTAACCTGATCAATTTATTGGCTAAACCAGGTATCAAAAAGATGCCTTCAGACCGCAAGACACCTGGCCTTTCAGTCTCTCAAAGGAAGGCCCTTCGTCAATATGCACAACAACACCCTCAGCTAACTCAAAAACAACTCCAGCAGTGGTTCTTGAACGAATTCCAGCGCAGTATAACGCAGCCTACAGTCTCAGAAAGCCTCTCAACCAAATACAACTTCCTAG